GATCTACATTGACCAGTGACTCTTTTTTTTTTTTTTTATATATGTTGAACACATTGGCATAATGTAAGAGTATTACTCAGTCTGTGAACAAAAATTAGTTCAATATCAATCAAAACTCAAGAGTTGAGCATCTCTCTCTGGGCATTGTATTCATGCACTCAATGGATGTGTTTGTAGTAACTTATAGTACTGAGCGCTGCAAAGCACACTAAAGCCTTCGTGCAGTCAGTGTAGTGTTTACCTTACTGTAGTCTCCTCTTCAGCACAATGGGAACCGCAAAAACTTCAACATAGCAGAAATTCTTATAAATGTCAAACATAACTGGATTAAACACTAGCAGGTCTTTCCCTTCACTAAAAACACAATGTTTATTCTCCTTATCCAGTCCTGTGCAAAGCATGCTGGGAACTAGAAATCTACTACTAAATTCCTGGTTCAAGAATTACTGTAATTTTTATTTATTTATTTATTTTTTAAAGAAAATCCATTAACGCCGAAATTAGAGTTTGCACACAAAATCAAGGTAATGTAATGATCCACACTGTCAACAGAAGTCATCAAAATGTTGGCAACTTAAAAGTTTTAAATATATAAATGAGAATGTTTAACTTGCAGCTATGCATTTAAGTTGTGGTAACGGAGTTTAAAGACTCATGCTAATAGCGGGTATAAATGGAGCTGATCTTGTGTCTTTCTTCATACAGATTCTTCCTGCTCTGTGCGTGCTCATCCACCACACTGATGTCAACGTAAGTGCTGCTCTCGCTCTTCGTGTGTAAAGGCACCGCTCGGGTGGCAGATGGGTTTAACTGTGTTCTGTGCAGATCCTGGTGGACACGGTCTGGGCGCTGTCTTATCTCACCGACGCTGGCAATGAGCAGATCCAGATGGTCATTGATTCTGGGATTGTACCGTACCTCGTGCCCCTACTGAGCCACCAGGAGGTCAAAGTTCAGGTACGGAAGAGCCTTTGGTATTGATGTCACTTCAGAGACGTGCCCTGCACTCATTTAAGTGTTTAGCGTGATGAGTAGCCTCTCTAATGTTCTGCTTTATGCTTCTAGACGGCAGCTCTGAGAGCGGTGGGGAATATTGTGACGGGAACTGATGAACAGACTCAGGTGGTGCTCAACTGTGACGCTCTGGGTCACTTCCCAGCCCTCCTCACGCACCCCAAAGAGAAGATCAACAAGGTAACAAGTGCCCATGGTGAATCTCACAACATCCGCAGGACACATTTCACCCCCAAATCTTTAAGAAATAGCTTTGTTCAAGTAAATGTAAGAGTGTATTTTTCGGATCGATGAGGGTTTATAATTACTTCTGATTACAGTCATACGTGTTTTGAGGGTTAATTTTATTTTTAACACACTTAAGCTTGTTTTTAGGGGCCAGTACCATTTTCTTTGTGAAACATTTGTTGTATTTATTTTGGGGTGAAATGCTGATCTTTGGATGCTCCCAAAAGTAATATCAAGGCATAAATGATGTGCTTTGGTGTTGGATATGATGACAGCTGAGCTGTGGTGCTGGTGTGAGTGACAGCTGAATAGAAACCGCAACATAGTGTTTAGATTAATGTGTATTTTAAAAAGTGTATTGTAGCTCGTTATAGTGTGTGTGTGTGTGTGTGTGTGTGTGTGTGTGTGTGTGTGGCTGATGGGTGGGGGTGTCAGAGATCAGTGCTGATACAGGAGTGCATCTGAGGCGGCCGCTCACACCGAGGCATCTCTGCGGTCTGGCTGATGATTAGAGCCTCAGTATCATCCTCACCCTCAGCCGCCGGTGCCACAATCTCAGCAGGGCCCGTGATCCGTCACAAAAGCCCTGTGATCTGATCCGACCGCCCGTGTCTCTCTCACAACGCCATCAGCTCTGATGCTGAAGTAATGAGTCTGAATGCTTTTGCAGGAGGCTGTGTGGTTCCTGTCCAACATCACAGCAGGAAACCAGCAGCAGGTTCAGGCCGTCATTGATGCCAATCTAGTGCCCATGATTGTTCTGCTGCTGGATAAGGTAGGTGACCTGAAAACAGTGGCATGTAGAGCTCTTAGAGTGCTAATAATAGCATATACAGTGTTAATGTAGCAGTAACAGTTTAGTTTTTGCTGTGCTATTAACATGGGTTAACAATGTTAACTGGTATTGATTTAAATGTTGATGACACTAGTGCTCAATATTACACGATGATGTGTCTCTCAGGGAGATTTTGGCACTCAGAAGGAGGCGGCGTGGGCCATCAGCAACCTAACCATCAGCGGCAGAAAGGAACAGGTGTGTTATACATTCGTACACGTATTATTGTGAGCGTAAAAGAGGGGCTGTGTTCAGATGTTGTGGTCTCGTCCTGTAGGTGGCGTACCTGATCCAGCAGCAGGTGGTTCCTCCCTTCTGTAACCTACTGATTGTCAAAGATGCTCAGGTGGTGCAGGTGGTTCTGGACGGGCTCAGTAATATACTCAAGATGGCTGATGATGAAGCCGAGACTATTTCCAACCTGATTGAGGAGTGTGGAGGTGAGCAGAGATTGAGACGGGTGTAGCTGCTGGCGGGGATGAGAAACACCGCTTTAGTAGACTTATGCATGATGAGCTGTAGTCTAACTTAACTTGAGAACTGCGTACCACACTTTAAATTCAGTACAATATATTATCTTACCTGTGTTACCTTATTCGTGCGAAATATTATTTCAAAAATAAAAACATCAAAACTTTAGGACAGGGCTTTGTTCAGTCCATCAGTTGTTGAGTGGATGGAGGCAGTTCTGAAAGTCACCTTAAGGTTGATTGAAGAAAGAGTTAATGATTGAAGTTATTCAGTGTACGTCATCAGCGAGAAAGTCAAAAAATTAAACATTTTTAATTTCATGCTGACTTCAAGGTAAAACAATCTAGCCAGATTATTAATTTCAGATGAAAGAAGTGCCAATCTGGTTTAATTAACTTTTTTACCCATTTAAAATGTGTTTTGCTTAATCAAATCAAACGATTTAAAACGGTAGATATTTTTGTAACGGGACTGCAGAATTTAATGCTGTAAACTATAACCTTTATGTATATTATATATAACTTTGGTTGAGCACCTTTTCACCGATTATTCATTTAGAAAGTCTTAAGCCTCGTTTTTTTTCTCTTACTGTGGCAAGTGTTTTTGAGGATGGCAATCATTTGTTTGCTCAGGTTTGGAGAAAATCGAGCAACTGCAGAACCACGAAAATGAGGACATCTACAAACTGGCTTATGAAATAATCGATCAGTTCTTCTCATCTGATGATGTAAGTTTCTGGATACGTTTCCTTTTTGACATGCATGCTGTAACGGAGCAATAGTGAGAGGAAAATGTATATATTTTACTTAGCTGTTAATGTAAACTTTTATTTTTTGCTACCTCTTCAGCGATCCTTCAAGTGATCTTTTCATGAATAGTTAGATCGGTTCTTACAGGCAAATGCAGCTCTCGATGGCGTCGTTCTTTACAACCGTTGGCACATTTCTTTCTTTCAGATTGACGAGGACTCCAACCTGGTTCCCGAAGCGATCCAAGGAGGAACATACAGCTTCAATTCTTCTACCAACGTGCCAGCAGAAGGGTTCCAGTTCTAGACGCGACGGGAAACCTGGAGTTTTGTTTGTGATGCAGCACTCTGTTCAACATTAAAAATAATTAGAGAGAAAGCGAGCGAGCGAGAGAGAGCGCGAGAGAGTGTGAGAATTATTAGATCCGTTGTGCTTGGCTGATGGGATCCAGCTGCATCTGATCCGAGAGAAATTGAGTGGAGCTCCTTCTGAAGGAAGCGTCCAGACGGCTTTGAGTGGATGCGAGTGAGAGTGAGTGGCTGACTACTACGTTTCAAAACACGATCATCTAAACCGAACGCGTGTCTTTCAACAAAACCAAACCGAACCAATGGGAATAACGAAGACGTCTCACGTGAATAATCTGAGGTAAGAACGCTAAAGGAGAACCTCACCACCAACGGCAACAACAAAGAGACACGAACACACTTCTGAGGTGGCCCGAGGCACACGTGTGTGTGTGTGTGTGTGTGTGTGTTTGAGAGAGCGCGTGTGTGTGTGAGTGTGAGTGGCCCCTGAGCTGAGGGGCCGCGTTCATCTGATGTGCTGGAGAACGGACCCAGCAGACCAGAGCCCTCTCTCTGCACTCTAGCAGCACGTCATTGTGCTGCGTGTGCGCAAGTGAATGGACGTGAAGGTGTGTGTGTTTGACTGACTGACTGACTGACTGACTGACTGACTGACTGACTGGTGAAACGCAGGACTGAATGTAACGAACGCAGCGAGTCGACATCGTGTGGAAGGTGACCGATCTGGGAATTCAATGGGAAATTGTGGAATAGCCTGGAAGAGGAGGCTAAATGAATAATAATTAAAAAAAAAAAAAAATCACCTTCAATGGAACGACTGGACATCAGTGATCTAAAGAAGACAATGTCATGACTTTAATTTTCCCTTTTAGATATTATTTAGTGTTGATGACACTGGACTGAGCTTTGGGTGTTGCGTCGAGGAGGTCGTTGGGGACGTGCGTTTTGTCCCAGTGTGTGTTTTTTTCCCCTCTCCCTTTTGCTTTTGGTCTCCCCCGTTTCAGCTTTTATTTTTCAGTGCTGGTGTAAATACATGTAATACACATTGTGCACTGTTGTACCTTTGCACAAATATGGGCTGTTGTACATTTAGACCTATACCGCTCTGCTTTCACGATTAGTTTCCCCCTTTTCTTTTCTTGGGAATAAATCCAGCTCCATCTGCGGCCCGATGGCTTTGAGCCATCACGTGATCATGTGAGGAGGTGTTTTATGTGTGAGAGGTTTCAGACATATCCTTTTGCATGTGCTAAACTGCGGCATAGTTCATTTTAGTGGGTTTTAGTTTTGTAAGTGTAAGCTGTTTTTTTTCTTTTCTTAATTTTTACAAGTACCTACTGTAATGTTTGTGACTTGTTTTTTTTTTTTTCTGTCCATTTATGCCCCTCACCGTTAATGACCGACAAGCAGTTCTCCACCGTTTTGCACACTGCAGCATTGGAGGTGTGTAAACAATAGCAAGATGGACAAAACCCAAAACTCCTACTTGTAGTGCAAATACAGAGTCCATCTTTATTTGTAGATATTAGTGTTCCGTGTTGAGCGTGTCTCTGGCGGACTGTGCTGTGCCTTCATCTTAAAGCACGTACAGGTGACTGTATGAAAGCGCTGTTTTCTACTGTAGGTTTACCATCCTTTGGTTTCTTAATTTTAGTTGACTGTAGAGCTGTCTCTGTTTTGCATAACCTCTTGATGGCTACATTGTTTCATTTACAGCCACCCTCCCCAACAGCATTCCTTGTTTGCAAATATGTAGTTTCAAAAGAAGAAAAACTAGATGGTATACCTATCCTGTTGGACATAGACTACAGGCTCTGTACCTATTCAAATAAATATTCAAATGTGTCACACTGCTGCCTCTCTGTTGGTGATCTGAACTGAGAGTTTTTAAAGAAGCGTCTGATGGTGGGTTTTAAAATAATTGCTGAAACAAGGAATTTTTTTCCTTCTCAATTTTAATGCTTTTTTTTTTTTTTTATGGAGGGCCAAATCTACGAAATAGAATTATATATTAATTATTATAAAAGCATTTGCTTTTCTTATTTTCCTTTTTTCTGGTCATGAAATCATTCATAATGACTGAGCAGTAGTGCGTAGACGAGCACATCTCATAGACAGAACTTGGAAAACTAAGCAGTAGTTGAGTTTTATATTCATGTTTGAGTCTCATGTCTTTTCAAAGATTTGATGCCACAAACTCCACACCTGGATGTTTTCCATCGCTGATATCTGAAACTGAACAACACTCACCGGATGCCAGAAATATAGGTGTGTTTATGTAGTACTATAGAATTTAATTGAATTTACTGTAGAAAAGTATACATATTTAGGCCAGCGGTGTTTAGTGTTATAGGAGTGTATTAGGGCAGCATTATGATGTATATGCACGTGTTTTCTTCCTCCTTGGCCTAATCTTTTTGCGAGCCTAACTTAACTGAAATTTTCATCCAACTTTACAGATTTGGATTGCCGTTTTAATAGTGTAAACTTTTGATCTGGATGTTTTTGTCTGATCATGGTCCCTTTAACCGTGTATATATATATATATATATATATATATATATATATATGAAAAAGTGGCATTTCTTACATTTTCTCTGGCTGGGCACCTATTTTACTCTCAGGCTATTCTCATCAGTTCCACATTTCTTTGAGTGCAGCGGCTTGTTAGGTTTAGTTGATGTTTTGTATCAGGTTCAGTGTGATCTGAGTTTAGTGGCTTTATAGATCTTATGTAGCTCCACCTCTTTTCAGCGCTGCGCTCGTTGTCTTCTGTCTTCCGTTTGTATTTCCATAGCATAAAGGTAAGGCTGTACAAATTTATGAATGAACCACTCTTTAAAATCTTTCCAGTTTACTGACATTCGTTACAACGTCCGCTTTTGAAGCGAGGTTGTACTACAACATTTGGAACATGAAAAAAAACAACTTTTGGTGAATTATAAAATAGTAAAATAGAAAATAGTTGTGTACTGTACATACAGTAAGGGAGATATTGTCTATGGCGACATATTGGTTAAATATGTTCGGTCAGTTTGCCCACAAGACATTTACTATGGCGTTGTAAACATAAATTGTATTAATTACTGGACTTCGTTTTGTACTGAGAGGTAAATTTGCAGACGGTCCCTAAAGCAGCCTAGGCGAATGTCTGGCGAATATCGAACCTAAAACTAACTTTACCCCGCTCCACTTTGAACATTAGAATGGACATAACTTTCGTTAACTCTACAATAAGAAAATTCACTTCACCAGCTAATTAAAGAGCTACCGGTAAAACAAGTTCTTGTTTCTCTGACACATAAGGTCTGTTAGCAACAATGGAGGTCAACAGAGCTGTTCTTAGAAGTTTTTGGTAATATTTCTGGATTACAATTATAGACATAACTAAATTAGTTTTTTCAATGTCATTTAATGTGGTTATATCAACAGTTCTTATGCATCTTTGTTAGCATCACTCAGTGTTGTGCGTAGAGCTGGGCGATATGGCCCAAAAAATTTCACATTAATTTTTTTCATATCAGTCGATATAAATTATGATAAATGTCCAATTTTTATTTCTTTTAATTTTAAAGGCAGATTTTTGCTCCAGAGTGAAAGTTGTAGAAACCAGACCGTTACTTGTGGTTTTAAACTACTCTTTATAGTCAGAACATGACAAACACTTGTTTTTGAATTATTTTCACTTTTACAGTCTTTTTTCCTTAAAATAAATATCTCGGTAGATGTTCTAATGAGTGATATTGTTCCAAATCATGAAACAGGATTGTGTTGCCTGATTTTCATGAATCATGACACGTATCTTCAGCACAGTTTGCAGTGCAGTGTATTATTAATAATACATTTTCTTGTCTCCTAGAAATGCGCATTAGACCGTAGTAGCTTGAGTTTTGATGCAACCACACATATAGCACTTCAATACCATGCTAAAAAAGTGTAACTACATGGTTTCTAGGTATTAGTATGAAAAACAGTAATCTAAATAGGCTGCATTTAGTATGAATGCACAAAAGCATAGCTTAATCCCCAAAAAACTAATTATATTCTATTTCACACATTTAATGCGTGTCTACATTGATAATATAATACAATTCGATATAAATATCCCACATTTCTGGCACAATACTATGGGGCAGTTTTACTACAGTAAATCCATGGTAAATGATGGTGATTTGTAGATTGAAAAGCCTTCTGACTGTATCATTGCGCACAGTGTTTCTCCTATTTGTCAGCGCTGTTTTATCGCTTTAAACTAGTTTAAAGGGGTGGTTGATTGCGATTTCACTTTTTTAACGTTAGTTAGTGTGTAATGTTGCTGTTTGAGCATAAACAATATCTGCAAAGTTACGAAGCTAAAAGTTCAATGCAAACTGAGATATCCTCTTTTAAAATTCTGGCAGTTTAATGCCTACAAAAACGGACTACAACGAGTTACTTCCCGGGTTCGTTACATCACAAACCCAGATAAACCCAGCCCTCGGGAAAAGGCAGCAAAGGGGGCGAGGCCATGCTGCACTGCTTTAGAGAAGAGGAAGAGAAAAGTAGCGATGCGCACAAAAATCTATTCATATATGAATCATGATTCTGTCTTCTAACGATTCTAATGGATTCACAAGTTTCAAAATCAATGTTCTAAAGCAGCAGTTCTTAATACTGTTCCTCGCGTTCCCCTGCTCTGCACACGCTCTGCATTTCTCTCTCTCTCATTCATATATTCAGCTCAGCTCCAGCAATGAACTGTTCCAATTATACACTTATTTTCACATAGCTATGCGAAGCATTAAACATGGACGCATGTGCGGTTGCCGTACTGTATTAAAGCTTTAATCAGGATAATACCGTATATTTAAAGCTAACATAAGCAGTAGCATTTACAAATAACATCGTATCTAAAAGTATGAGACCACAAAAAACATAGGCCTACCATTAAAAGCCATGTTTTCACAGGTTCTGCGTGATCCTCTTCAATATCCTCTGGGTCTCAATCGGGCTCAAACTGATAAGCGATATTAACAACGCCATTGTTTACAATACAACCGGAGCACATGCTGCTGAGGGGAGGGGGCGGGACGTTTAGACGCACACTAGAGGCGGTTTAGCCAATCACAACACACTGGGCGAGCTAACCAATCAGAGCCCATCACCTATTTCGGAGGGCGGGGCTTCATAAAAGCAGGAAATGATCAGCACGTTTCTCAGAGAAGGGACAGAGCGGTGTGGAATAAAGCTAAATTATGTGAAAAATAATGCTTTTTTTTTGAAAATGAAGCATTAACATGTTAGACTGCACCCCATAAACACAATCAAGCCTAGAAAAAAAACAGTGAACCACCCCTTTAAGTCATTTGTGTTCTTCGCTGAATTCAAGCGCTTCAAACTGGATCTCACAGCGCTGTTTAGTGTCGCGTGACTGAGTCTCATCAGCGAGTAAATGCATCTGCTCTAGTGAGCTCGTGCTGTGCTGCCGTTTGAACTCTTACCCGAGCGGATAATGGTGTGAGGCGCCTGGCTGGACAGAAGTGAAGGCAGAGAGAGAGAGCAACCGTGCACGAGAGAGACCAAAACTGTGCGTGAAAGAGGCACCGTGTGCGAGAGAGACCGAGTGTGTCCGAAAGAGAGCGAAAGTGTGCAAGAGAGACCAAAACTGTGCACGAAAGATAGCGACAGTGCGCGAGAGACCAAAACTGTGCGCGAAAGATAGCGACAGTGCGCGAGAGACCAAAACTGTGCGTGAAAGATAGCGACAGAGTGCGAGAGAGACCGAAACTGCGCACGGAAGAGAGCGACAGTGCGTGAGAGAGACCAAAACCGTGTGCAAAAGAGAGCGACAGTGTGCGAGAGAGCGTGAGTGTGAGTTCTGTGAGAACTTGTTCTGTGGTGTACATTGCAACCACAGAGAGTGACAGTGTGTGAGAGAGACCGTGCACGAGAGAGACCGAGTGCGCCCAAAAGAGAGAGACCGAAACTGTGCGCGAAAGATAGCGACAGTGCGCGAGAGACCAAAACTGTGCGTGAAAGATAGCGACAGAGTGCGAGAGAGACCGAAACTGCGCACGGAAGAGAGCGACAGTGCGTGAGAGAGACCAAAACCGTGTGCAAAAGAGAGCGACAGTGTGCGAGAGAGCGTGAGTGTGAGTTCTGTGAGAACTTGTTCTGTGGTGTACATTGCAACCACAGAGAGTGACAGTGTGTGAGAGAGACCGTGCACGAGAGAGACCGAGTGCGCCCAAAAGAGAGAGACCGAGAGCAACAATTCTTTTTTTCAGATCCTCAGAGAGTTCTTTGCCATGAGGTACCATGTTGAACGTCCAGTGACCAGTATGAGAGAGTGAGAGCGATATTGTTCTGTGGTGTACATTGCAACCACAGAGAGTGACAGTGTGTGAGAGCGACTGTGCGCGAGAGAGACCAGGTATGCGCAAAAGAGAGCACCCAAAACTGCGTGCGAATGAGCGACAGTGTGCAAGAGAGACCGAAACTATGCGCGAAAGAGAGTGACCATGTGCGAGAGAGTGCGAGTGTGAGTTCTGTGAGAACTTGTTCTGTGGTGTACAATGCAACCACAGAGAGCGACAGTGTGTGAGAGAGACCGAGTGTTTGCAAAAGAGAGCGACAGTGTGCGAGAGAGACCGAGTGTGTGAGAGAGACTGAAACTGTAGGCTACATTAAATACTAAAAGTCTGCATTTCCAATAAAATATTTACAAAAATGTGAGGGGTGTACTCACTTCTGTGAGATACTGTATATCCTTATCCTTACACGGGTATGATCTGACCAGAGAGACCGTGTGTGTTCGAAAGAACGACAGTGTGTGAGAGAAACCAAAACTGTGCTCGAAAGATAGCGACAGTGCACGTGAGAGAACGAATGAACGAGTGTGTGTGAAGTAGTGACTGTGCGAGAAAGACCAAATGCGCGCGAAAGAGAGCGACAGTGCGCATGAAAGAGTGACAGTGCGCGAGAGAAACCAAAACTGTGCGTGAAAGACAGAGCGTGTAAGAGACACACTGCGCCCAAAGGAGAGCGACAGTGCACGAGAGAGACCGACTGTGCATGAAAGAACGTCAGTGCATGAGACCGAAACTGCACGTGAGAGAGACCGAGTGTCCGAGAGCAATAGTGTGCAAGACAGACCGAGTGTGCGCAAAAGAGAGCGACGGTGCACGTAAAAGAGTGACCGTGCGCTAGAGAGAGTGTGTCCGACAGAAAGCGACAGTGCGCGAGAGAGACCGTGTCCGACAGAAAGCGACAGTGCGCGAGAGAGACCGTGTCCGACAGAAAGCGACAGTGCGCGAGAGAGACCGTGTCCGACAGAAAGCGACAGTGCGCGAGAGAGACCGTGTCCGACAGAAAGCGACAGTGCGCGAGAGAGACCGTGTCCGACAGAAAGCGACAGTGCGCGAGAGAGACCGTGTCCGACAGAAAGCGACAGTGCGCGAGAGAGACCGTGTCCGACAGAAAGCGACAGTGCGCGAGAGAGACCGTGTCCGACAGAAAGCGACAGTGCGCGAGAGAGACCGTGTCCGACAGAAAGCGACAGTGCGCGAGAGAGACCGTGTCCGACAGAAAGCGACAGTGCGCGAGAGAGACCGTGTCCGACAGAAAGCGACAGTGCGCGAGAGAGACCGTGTCCGACAGAAAGCGACAGTGCGCGAGAGAGACCGTGTCCGACAGAAAGCGACAGTGCGCGAGAGAGACCGTGTCCGACAGAAAGCGACAGTGCGCGAGAGAGACCGTGTCCGACAGAAGGCGACAGTGCGCGAGAGAGACCGAGTGTGCGTGAAAGAGAGCGACCGAAACTGCGTGCAAAAGAGAGCGACAGTGTACAAGAGAGACTGTGTGCGAGAGAGACCGAGTGCGCACGAAAGAGAGCAACCGTACATGAGAGAGACCGAAACTTTGCGTGAAAGACAGCGACATTGTGCGAGAGAGCATGAGTGTGAGTTGTTCTGTGAGAACTTGTTCTGTGGTGTAGAATGCAACACTATTATCCTGCAATTTCAAAGATGTTTAAGGAACATTTTATATTAAATTATATGATTTTGTTGCACTGCATTAGATGTTAGTGTATCAATGTACAGAGATATTTCACAGATCTAAACGCTTGTGTGACAGTTTATGAAGAAAGTATGCTATCAAGAAATTTTAACAGCATGGAGCATTGTCATAGGTTATTGGAGGAACATTCTCGTATTCTGTCTAGGATGTTGGACCATTTGAGACACTCAGGTAATTATTAGTTGTAGACAGGAGTAGTCAAATGTATGAAAAAATTTATAGTATCAGTTTAACATTCTCTTTTCATAGGATAATCAAATTACATCCACGCTATCAGTTACATGACAGCCTCTCAGAAATGTTATTGCAACTGGAAGTAATCCTCCACCCCCAACTCTCACCAGCAATTCGAATATCTGTGTCTTGGAATGGAGGGCGACCAAGGTGATTGTTCATATGTTGCTACCCCAACATACATTAAACAGAAAAATAAACATTTTACTCATTTGTCAGGCACATACATATCTCCAGCACAGAACGTCACTGTTTTACATATGAAACAACCAATATTTTATATGCAATTTTCCTGAGACTAGTGTCAGTGTATGTATGCTGCATGAATGTATGTATGCAGGAAAGTGACATCTGGTAAGGTATTTGATAGGGTTATTAATTAGTGTGCAATAGATTTTATGAGGAGAGTTAGATAAAACAGAATTACAATGTAATGAAGATTAATTCTAAAGTGCATCTGACATAATGCCACACAAGTACATTAAATACTAAAAGTCTGCATTTCCTTTCCTTACACGGGTATGATGTGACCAGAGAGCAGCTGACCCAGCTAAGAGGAACCGGAATGTCATGGACAGCTATCTCTACCTGTTTGAGCGTGAGCTGTCAAACCATTCGAAGACTACTTCAGTATGGCAATGAGACTAATTTCAGCACAATTTCAGATCTTGACCTCGATGCACTGATTCGAGCAGTGAAATGGAGTCGTGTGGAGATGCAGCCAGTGTGGCCTATGGAGTTTGTGAACATTTGGCTTGTTAAGCACATGTTCGTATGCAGTGGCCTCTCGCGTGTGCTTCAGGGAAGCTTTGTGGATATCACCACTTGGACTACCAGTATTTTTTTTTTCTTTGACTGCCATCGACACCATTGTTCCCCTAGAACTTTGTCACATTGACGGACATCAGTGTTCATCAATATCTTCATCTTCATCAACGTTCAGCTAAGTTTGTTCCTTCTACAACATACTTCTTGGTCTAAAGACAGAAAACCCATACAACTTACTGACAGTCATTCATTCCCTCAGCCGTGGTTGTTTATTGATGTAAACTGTATCCGTATAAAATATATTCATTCTTTATGCATTTTGAGCCTTAGCAGTTCATGATTATTCTGAGCCTACATTTACCAAAGTTTTAATCATATTAAGGAACTTTTTCGATCCCCCTATAGATGTATAACTCAGGCCTAAATTGGGTAGTGGTTATATAATTTTAACCCTTACAATCACACATGTGTGATCACTCTACACCAGTGTGATTAGAATGCTCAGTGATCATGATCAGCTGCTAAATACAAATCTGCTTTCGTGCTTTGGCTGGCACTGAGCCAGCGACAACAAAACAATTATAGATTGTAAAATATACATTGATGTCTATGGAAGTGGCAATAATAATCCTTTCATATATAATTTGACGACATGCTTTATTCATATCAGATATGCCTTGTGTAGGTAATGACCAAGTTTTCTTTATTCTTCTCCCAGTTCAGCAGCCACTTACTTTCATGTCTTTCTGGAGGAGAACATGATGGATGTATGCATTTTAAATCCAACAGCTCTTGATTCGCTGAATTGATGTGCAAACTAACATGGCAGCCATGTTAAAAAAAAAACAAAACAAAAAAAAACTGGGAAACAATCCCAGATAGCACATGTACATCTGCAAGATGTCCGTTAAAGATCGCTTCATCTGGAAAGCATCTGTTTTGTACAAACATCTGACAGACATATCTAAGATGTCAGTTTTACATGCATTCTAAATCATAAACATCTTAGACATCTTCTACATCTATTTGACATCTGAAAGTAAACGTCCTAAAGATGCATTGCAGATGAGCAAACACTCTAAAAAATACATCTTGCAGACGTCAAATAGACGTCTCTGTGATGTACGTGTGCTATCAGGGATAAGGCGATATGTTCCACAATAATGGTTGTCTTTAAAATGCTGGGCCCAGCTAGAATATTTTAAACTTACGCGTGAAGGTTTTCACTTTGAAGAAGTTTTGAAGTTTGAAGGCCATGAACTCTGGGCCATAGAAAAACAGAGATAAAAATTGAGATAATTTTACTACAGTAACCATAGTTTGCTGTGTTATTTTATAGTAAAAGCACAGTAAACACGACCCTTACCATGCCTTTTCCACAGTATTTGTAGTTACACTATGGTATTTTGTACTTAAAGCGCATAACCTCAACCCTTACCATGCTTTTGCTGCAGTAACGGTAGCTTTACCGTGTTATGAGTAGTTAAAGCACAGTAACCGTAACTATGGTAACTCAACACTGGCTACGTTCAGACTGCCAGTCCAAATCAGATTTTTGTGCATATTTGAAATCCGATCAGATTTAATACATAGCAGATGTACAGATACACACTTGGAAGATGTGAACAACACACACACAAAAAAACCCCCATGATTCTATTTTTACAAATCCTGTTTCAAGCTACATTCATAAGTGGTTTAAAATCTTATTCAAATTGCATTTCTGGAAATCGGCTTCAGTCTCACTGCTCAGATCTTGATAGATGGAAGGCAACAGAGTTCAGGCAGTTTTTACTGTATACCGGACCTGTCATGATGAAAGATCTACTTAGCACAGAGGTGTACAAAAACTACTTGCTACTTTTTTGGGGAATCTTCATCCTGTTCAACAAGAGTTTGATTGAATTTCACTGTGATTATGCCCATGACATACTGGTTCTCTTTGTCACTCACTGTGGTCAACTGTATGGTGCGCGATTCTTGTCCTACAATGCACACTGCCTTATACATCTTGCAGATAATGCAAAAAAAGCATGATGTCCTTGACAGCTTCAGTGCTTTCAAGTGCGAGAATCACCTAAACAAACTCAAAAGACTTCTGAGGAAACCAACATGCCCTCGGAGTCAAATAATAAAAAGATTCTCAGAAATGCAATTTTTTTTGACTGTCCCCTATCATCCTCTGCACCCAGCATTCATTTAGTGGATGACCTCTCAACAACAGTAGATTTCTGCAAGTTTGAGGAAATAGAGAGCAAGAGTTTTCTTGTCCCCCATCACAATCCATTTGTTTCAATTCCTCTTTTACATACAGAGTAATTCTTTATCAGCACTTTTTGTTTCATAGTTCATGCATTTCAATTACATAGTGGCCGCACCCATTTAGTGCAGATGTGTCATTCAGAGAACTTGTGCTCATGTAAATTTATAGAATTGGAAATTTGTATCAGTGGTTAATCCACCTACTCTGTTTCTTTTTTTTTTTTTTTGGCTCAAATTTGTCTCACCATAGCAATAAAAAAAAAGCTTCATTTTTATTTGAGTTTTGAGAACAATATTATGTATTGTTCTGATTGACCCAAACAGAGTTTCATACATACACGTACAGTACATGTATGTTCAAATGTATTTGCCATGCAGAGGACTTCTGGTTTCGGTTCATATGGAGTGAGCTGTCTTGACCGAAACTCTGTTAAACCTCTAAACAATTTTACGTATAAGAACCTGCAAATTGACAATTAACTCTCATGGCTTTGTTTAATATCAAGCTAAGTAACAACCACAACCATAAAACAGCAAAACTATCAGAAAAAAAAGAGGACAAGGATTATGATTAGTTTTCAACACAATGCAAACAAAATATCCAAATGAAGAAAAACAGATGAAAATATTCGAAGTCTCAAAAGGTCAAACAATCAAATGAAGACTCAAAGTACAGGCACAAGCTGAGGGTGACTTGCTATTGTCTAATTAAAGGCTGAGCAAATAGCAGTTTTAAACAAAACTATAGGCACAGATGAACTGATTACACTAATCAAACTGAGTTGATAAAGTTCTTAAGGTCATTATGGCCAACCAGGGTAATGTCTCACAATGGGAGTCACTCTGTGTGAATTGGGTTTTACACCATCTACACTGTAATCAATATCTAATCAATACCAAGTCTTAAATTATTACATTATTCAACAGTGAGTTCAGGTCCTCCAGCAGATCATCTGACATCTGTAATTCAAAATCGCTGTGTTTGCAGTCTGTTGATTGTGTGAATCTGACGTCTCTTTCATTCATCCTGGGACTGGCATCTAAATTACTGTCCTACAATAAAACACACACACTGTCACATATGAAACATTACTGCTGTCAAATCCAGGAGATCCATTTCAGAGAGAAAGAGAAAAACATATTGCCATATTGATATTACAGCCAGAGATATGAATAAAAAAAACTCAAACAGGGTCTCCTTTGCTTAAAGATTAATAAAAGTAAATGATAAACAACTCCCTCTTTATCACTTACACAGAGAAACTGTAAGAACTGGAAAATATGCAGTGACTTTAACTGCTCATTTATCTATTCATATTTTTATGTGTTCATGCATTATTACTGATTTAAATAAAATGATAAATTAAAAGCATCCTGATATTAAAATCTGCACTGACCCTATTTATTTTCTTAATGTAATTAATGGTCTTATTCTGAACAATTCATATAATTTATTTTGACTTTGTGATATTTAATCAAAATGTCATAACTTGTTTTTCACTTGACATCTATGATGTATTTAAAGGGGTCATATGATGCTTTTTTTAAAGATCATTATTTTGTGTATTTGGTGTAACAGAATATGTTGACATGCTTTAATGTTCAAAAAACACATTATTTTTCAAATACTGTACATTATTGTAGGTCCTCTATGCCCCGCCTCTCTCAAACGCTTAGTTTTCTACAAAGTCGCTCCTTCCGACAAGCGCAGTCTGCTCTGAATGCGCAAAACTCCGCATTTGAACAGTCAATAGCAAATACTTAAACTAATAACAAAACAGTAGCTGATTCAGAAGCGCCAGATTGTCATAGCAAAGTCAGAATTACCTCCTCTCCTAGGTTCATGAAACGGTCGTCCATAAAATGCATTGCTGTTCTGTTGTAAGTAATCTTAAAGATTCCTAAATGCATCTACTTTCGGAAGGCCAAATAAAGTGCTTTTGCTTTCACCTAGAAACACACAGCGTCTCCCTGACATGCTGCTTCAACACTAACTGCGGTTACTGAAACCACGCCTTCTTTCTTTGCGTGCACATTTGGGCGGCATTATGCTAATATTTCCACATAGTGAGGTAGATATGTGGGGGCGTGTTAGAACGAGCCGTTTTAGGGGGGCGTGGCAGAGTCTTAACTTTGATAAAGAATATCTCTTTGGTTTTGAGACTTTAGTCTTTGCAACTTCAGGGATCTTATCTATTCACAATCAGCTTGTAACAGTCCAAAGAGAAAGGAAAACTTGAAATCGCATCATATGACCCCTTTAAGTCTGTGCTTCAGTTTTGGTATGCATCACTCACTTTTCACAATCCAATTTCACTTGGAAATACAATATGGTAGTAACTTCCTATTGCAACTTCTGTTTCTTGCCGACTTTAAAGTCATACTAAAGTGTGTGAACTGTAAGCGTAACTGTTGTCCTGCAGGTGAAATTAATCATTATCCCCATGCACTTTAGCATGTTTGAGCACTCATGGATCTACAATGATTTTCAAGCAAGGAAGTTACAATGATTTTTGGAAACAGCCTATAATTCTATGATTCCAATCTATTGATTTGTCAATCCACCATTTACCAAATTCAAAAGCATAAAAAAGAATCTGTTCTGTTGTTAAAATCATGGAAAATCAGTTTACCAGTTTGCAAAACAGACTACAAAACCGACATATGGCTTAATCCAAATGAATGGGCTCACGTACATCCCGTAACAGGTATTTATATATTTAAATAAGAATATACTCACAATATTGGCCCAGGCTCTCCAGTTTACAACATGGATCATTCTTTAGATCATTAAGCAGCTTCCTTCCAGTATCTCCTCGTTTATTTCCAGTCAGATTCAGTTGTCTCAGGTGTGAGGGGTTTGATATCAGAGCTGAAGCTAGAGCAGCACAACCTTTATCTGTGACACCACACTCACACAACCTGCAGACAACAATGACAAACTCTTCACTCACACAGTTCAAGACACAAATCAACAGGATCAATAAAGAAATAATAGTGTGGTGTGGTTTTCTCAAATAAAGCCACCCTCAGTGTTTTGTTGCTCTTTAGTCCAATATAGATGCATGATGTTTTAACAGTTTATGTGTTCAGGGAATATGGAAGCATTTAATCATTGCAAAAATATATTCATTTTTATTTATATATTGTTTATGAGTGCACCCCCTCTGAAACTTAAAGGGGTCATATGATGCTGCTAAAAAGAACATTATTTTGTGTATTTGGTGTAATGAAATGTGTTTATGCGGTTTAAGGTTAAAAAAACACATTATTTTCCACATACTGTACATTATTGTTTCTCCTCTATGCCCCGCCTTTTTGAAACGTGTCGATTTTTACAAAGCTCATCGGTCTGAAAA